GTCCCGTTGATGACATTGTTCAGAATCTCCTCTCTCCATAAAAAAACACCGCAATACTGTATCAATCTGGTGGCGCAAACCGCATGGACTCTTGTCGAGGAAACTTTCGTGAACAGAATTAACACATTCTCTATGGTTCGATTCAAATAAGTTGGTGATTGAGACTTTTCCTTTTGAAGCTGTTGCTACATACTATAAGAGTACAGGATTTGGTTACTTTTGTAAGTACTCATTTCAAGTGTTTATTTTCGTGCCTCAGAAACAGGTGCTCAGTGGTACTGAATTGAATTAAATTGAATTGAATTGATGCCTTATTGTACGTGGTGAGACTCGGGCCATCAGGCCCACTCTGCCGTCTGACCACGCGAATTTCGCTGCGCTCCTTTCACCATCTAGGGCTACGAAACAGACGATTTGAATTCTGCTCAGAGGCGTCATTTAGGCTTGAGGATCTCTTACATGTGTACATCTTTTACATGTACATGAGGATCTTTTACATATACATGTAAATGTACATGTACATTTACATTACACACTATTTACATGCAAGTAAATCTACTAACATGGGACAGCCGGCTTTACTTCCCCTCCGAAGGAAGGCGTACGATAGATTGTTTACGCCCTTAAAGATCGATCGGATTTGAACCCGCCAACTTGGGTATAACAGTCCGATACGCTAACCGTTAGACCATCGCCGCCACAAAGTGGTACCTGTCAGCGTCGATCCTTTCCATTCGCAACTCTCAGTCGCCAACTTCTTTTAATCGGACCATAGGCACGAGGGGCATGAAAGTGTATCGATATAATTTTTCCTCGTCGAACGGTATCGCAGCCGTTGGCACCGCTCTCGCCGTCTGCGCCGTCGCCATCGCCATCGCCCGCGGCGCCGCCGCCGCCGTCGTCGTCGTCGTCGTCGTCGTCGTCGTCGTCGTCGTCGCTTTCCAGTGCGTGCGGGGAAACAAGTGACGGGGCAGGCGCCGAGCGGCGAAAGCAGCGGCGCGGCGTGGTGCGTGATCGAACCTTTAATGGCTGGCGGCGATTTGCGGTGTTGGCGGGGACGCCCCACAGTGGTCTGGTATAGGCTCTCAATGCGCGCATAGAACGTAATGCGTCGTTTTTTTGTTGTTGTTGTTTTTTCCAACTTTAGCGCTACAGATTTGCTACAATAGTACTTTATGCAATTGGTTCATAATCTTAAGCTTTATTACATGAGTACATGTTTTGAGAATGAGCGACATTAAGAACGCGTTTTCATATGTGTACGAATGGAGTAGAACAACATTATAAACGAGTTGCATAAGAACTTTTTTTGTATAACAGCATGATAAATTTATAAGAGAAACTAACTTAATATTGCGAAAAAACTTATTGTGATGTCACGGGTGTTGAGTTTTGCTCGATTGTAACGTGTGTTGCAGCACAATATGTGTCGCGAGTTTTGTGTGCGCCTGTTCTTTTCCATATTTTATAGTTCGCGAACTTTTATTTATTTATTTGTTTGATTGTTTATTTATTTATTTATTTGTTTGATTGTTTATTTATTTGTTTGATTGTTTATTTATTTATTTATTTATTTATTTATTTATTTATTTATTTATTTATTTATTTATTTATTGTCTTAAATCTGGTTGCTGTAAGACTTGGGATAATTAACTCTTCATCTCAAGCACATTACTGTGTTTTGTTTTTGGTGTAATACAAATAATGTAAAAGTCATATTTCGTTAGAGTATTGTATATAGGGGGAGGGGTTAGAACTGAAAATGTGTTCCCCCGGTTCGGCCCAGTGTGGGACACGGCGCCTGGCCCTCTGCGTGCGCTCTCGCAAGCCCGTCCGCCGAGCCCCCGGCCTTCATGACGTCATTGCGCACGCCGCGACTCGCCTAATCGGACGATCTCGTGACCATACGGCTGTGGCGGCGCACCGCGAAATGGTTCTCTTCATCGGCTCGCATTCCGATGCTTTTTTCTTCTTCTTCTTCTTTTTCGTACTCGTTTCTCATGTTGAACACTTTGCTTACCGTTGACCCTACGTTAAACCAATGCATTCTTGATCATTCTCGTATGGTAATTTACATCGTAATTTAATCATAATGCAAATGCAATCAATTTTTGTTCTTCCTGCAGCTTTTTTCCAGTTTTAGGGAATGTCGATTTCCACTATCCGCGGCGGGTATCCACTATGCCCCTCATGGGGACACACATTAACCTATTCACAAGACGCAATTGCGGGCTCCTCGGTCTGCGGTCAGCAGACTGACAAGGCATTCGGCGACAACACATACATAAAAGACAAGGCACAAACAACAATGCCTACGGCGGGACTCGAACCCGCGACCCTTCAGAGAGAGGCGCTAAGTCGGCTCTAGCCATATCGGCCAGCCAGGTCGGCATGCAATTTATGAATTATGATATTATTATTATTATTATTATTATTATTATTATTATCATTATCATTATTATAATTATCATCATCATCATCATAGTTATCATTATTATTTTCATTAAAAGATTATCACTTTCATAACATGAGAATTCTTTAAAAAATGTGTAGTTGCATTTTCTTGGAAGAGCATTCTTTTTTGAGCTCCAAAGATATTTCTTTTAAATATGAATGCAATCCTCAAGAATTCATTGATGTCCATTAAATAACTTCACATTACATAAAATCAGTTACTTCAACAATACTCTGCGATATTGATGGTCATTTGAGAGGAAATATGAATTAGAGTAATAAATAATAAAGGCGTTCTTCTCCATCCGCTCGAAGTCTTTCCGAAGTGAGAAACGTAAGGATTGGAAAGTTTCTAATTCTCATTATAGCTTTTTGATAAAGCAGCTTTATATTTCCACGAGTCACAATGAATAGTTTCTTGGAGTTTCCATCTTTGTCAGTAGATTTTTTTCTATTTTGAGCAATATCCCAGTGTTTGGTTGTCTCAAGCGCTACTTACGTAGTACTGTAACTTAATGTAACCAAAGTTTTATTTTCTTTAAGTTTGATTATCGTATTAAGAATATATTTTAGATTTTAAATATTTTTTTTATATTTTTTGCAATTATTCAATATATTATCTAGTTTATTTTATTTACGGCCTGATTCTGTATGACGAATTGTAAGTGTGATCACGTATGAGAGATATGAAAGGACGATGGCCTACGCCGATTTTGAAAAAACTGGACTTTCTTCCGCTTCCTTCAACTACAGTTCATAATAATTTCGCACATTGATAGACTTTGAATACATATATTACTGCACTCTTTGAACACTTGATTACTATCCTCGAAACTCTGGCGTTATTGATCATTGTTTCTGCCAGATAATGATAAAAATTCCATAATATTTCGAATTTTTACATCAGTATTTTTGGGGAATATTATAAAGCACTAACTAGTAAAGCTCCTTTTATCGTTTTAATAACAAAAAAATATAAAATGGGTAGTAAGATCACGTAAAAAAATGATAGTATATATGTTCTTAGATCTAAGAAATAAGTACACGTATGTTTTACAGTATAGGTTACATTCTGCAATAATAAAGTCTAAATGGAAAATAGGCTAAATAGTAAAGTCTAAAGAACAAATTAGTCATAATACTTTTTCTTTCTCGGAATTTCCTATATCACACCAATCAGTACAAGCAAATGCACAATGCTGCATCTATAAACTACCTAGAGGTATTCGTCGGAATTCGAACTCTGGCTCTCCCGGTCAGAGGCCTGGCAGGGGCAACAGTCCATGATGCCCTGAGCCATCGAAACCGGTCCGAGTTCCGAGAGATTAAGATTCGAACCATCTAGCATCCAGAAGGTATCGTGTCATCAAGGTTCGAGTTATTGAGGTTCGCTTCAGTCTTTCGAGTTCACAGGTATTGAGCCACAGTTTCTCCGTTATTTTCCTTTTTTCTTTTTCGCCCTTACGGAATTACTTCGTAAGAAGAAAAAGTTGTGTAATTGGGCGTCGGAAAACGGAGAATTTTTGGTAGAAAAACTCTTAATTCCGGGCCCTGGTAACGAGTAAGTGGATAACTCCTTTTGCTAAATCTAGAAAAAAAAATCTTTAACACATGTGTAGTCAAAATTTATATTTTGTATGTCCTTGATACCCAAAAATCCATTGACGGCAAAACGTCTGCTTGCCATCTGGGGTCAGCGCTAGCGCCTTAACCGCCGTTGTGTCAATTTTCTCCGAAATTGATATTCTCCCATCGATCTGAATGAACTCGATGCTTTCAGTGTTTCAAACGAATATTTTGCATTTTTAGAATACTTTACATGAAGAAATCATTTACATTTTTAAGCATCGGCCCGAGATGGGCATTGGGCCGAGATGGGCATCGGTGCTTCTTTGGCATAGTAGTATGAGGGACGAGTCTCCGAGCGAAAAAAAATGCTTTTCTAAATATCTTTTGCATGCTTATGTAGTTGTATAATAAGATAGATAAGGCGATGAAGGAACACGATCTTCAAGATAAAGATCGGGAAGATAAATGCACGTGGCGACTGGGATGTGAAGAAGCGGCGTCAGCCGTAAAGAACCTCGCTACCACTACAATAATATAGCGGACCAGTTAGAAATAATGCGAGAAAGTATGTGCTTTTGTAGCACCACTATTTCCTCGCAATTATTAATGTGTGTGATGACTTGTGTTATGACTACATATGCTATATGTTATTGTGAATTAATGCCTTATTTTACGTGGCGAGACTCGGACCATCAGGCCCGCTCCTCCGTCTGACCACGCAAATTTCGCTACGTTCCTTTCACCCACTAGCAAAGAAAGGAGGTATTTCTTGGGCGATTTTGAATTTAGCTCAGAGGCTTCATTTAGGCTTGAGGATCTTTTACATGCAAGTAAATATACTAACATGGGACAGCCGGCTTTACTTAGTGAATAATGTAAGGGGGGACGATGGAACAAACAATTGTTTGAAGTGGGGTCGATGAAAGGAAGAGATCAGGGAACGAATGGCGACGAGGGCGTGTTGTGTTGTGTTGCAGGCTGGAGAACAGCGTGTGGTGGCGGTCGCGGGACGGCCTGCTTCCCGACCGCCTCGAGTTCTTCGCGTCTAGCAACCCGGGCGTCGACGCCAACACCACCCTCGAGTTCGCGGGCCTGGGCGTCTTCACGGACGCGCTGGTGCCGCGCTGGCCGCAGGCCGGTGAGTGCCCGCGCTGGCCTCGGCGCATGCGCACCCGCGGCCCCAATGGAGCTGCGGACGCCTTTCTTTTATGCATTTCGTGTTTGGAATCCACGGAAGCCGCGGATGAAAACTTGGTTAACGAATTGATAAATTGAGCCTATTTCCCCCATTGATGCAAGGGTTTACTTGTTTGTAGATGTACAACAGATTTATTATTTAGAAATATATATATATATATATATATATATATATATATATATATATACTTTTTTTTATAAATTTGTAACTTAAGTTGTTTAAATGTGCGAATCTTGAAAAACGTTTAATTGAGAATGTGAAGATATGCTCAAGTCGTTAATTCGTGTTTGAAATTAGAGGGAGGATTTAGGGAGAAGGGGGCACTAATCTTACACACACATTCCCAAACTGAAAGATTTACAAATATACTTGCTGCTACGAACTGTGTTGTTTCATACAAATAATATATGAAATACTATATTTTCAATTGATTATTGTTCATTTGTAAATTGACTTCAGTTTAGTTAGAGCCTTGACACATTAATGTTTTCACTACTAAAATATTTGTATGCTTTTAGCTAAATCTGCTTTTAGCTTATTAGCTAAATCTTCGATTGAAACTAATGACTGCACAAGGTTCTTTTAAAACATCGTTCATCCGATGCATAAATCTTTATCCGACTTCCTGAAGGAGCCGCCCACGAAGCGATGACATGGGTTCTTGGAAAATCACTTCACCACGTCTCGATCAGGTGCAGAGAATGAACAGCGTGACCTCGGCTCGCCCACGCTCCCAGCAACTCGTGGCCCACGCTCTCCGCTCTACCCATTGCCTTCGAAGAACAACAGTGAATATCCATTTCAATGACATAATCATCGAGGTTGAAATTGTGTTCGATAAGGGAAAAGTGATACCCTTTTGAGCGATAAAAGGTATTGGGTTTGCGCGAGCTTGCTGATTTATTCTGTCAAACTTATTGAAATCCAAAGCCTTACTCCATTAGAACAGGGCTCTCAATGATTTATGTTATTCTTTTCAAGTTCATATATATGTAAATATTTAATATTAATTTAACAATCTGTAAAGGTTACATTTGATTTTCGTATTCATTTTCATTACATCTGTTTAATATTTTATTACTAGGGAGCCCCATAGATTGGTCAAGCTTAGGCAACTTGAAATATTACTCCTGATCTGATTGATAAAATATAATTGGCGAAATAGAATATTTAAATCCTGCACATAGTTCAACATATTTTGTAGTGTAAATGTTTTTTGACTGTGAATACGCAAGAGTAGCTTAGTATATTTATATTACAAATGTCCAATGCTCGCAGAAATTGAAAGAAATCTATACAGCCTCCGACCATGTGGGAGGTTTTGTTAGATATCCAGGAACTTCGGGAAAATCCAAAAGCAATGTAAGAGTTTCGATTTTGTCTGAAAATTGCGTACATTTGATTGCGTTATTCTGCGTATTCTCATACTGCGCGTATCGGCTGAATTTTGATACTAAATACCTTACAACACAGCTGTCTTGCGACATACTGACTCCAAGAAAGAGAACACTCGCCAAAAAAATATTTGCTATTCACGTGTTGCATTATGGAACAGCAACTTAAAAAAAATATTCTTGGTATGTAAAGAACCGTTGTACTGTGTATCCATAGCACTTTTGTTGCTGCAGGCCAATAGTATTTACAGCAGTTGACAGTATGAAAATTACTTTTCGAATTTTCAAAAATTCCTTCACCAATTCTCATTTTTCCCCTCTATATCGAGCGAATGATGCAACGAAACTAGTACGTTTTATATGGCCTCCTTACTCATTGTCTCTTTTGAACAAAGGAATTGTGGGAAAAACCATGAAGTTTGAGATTCACGAGACTGCACAGCTGTTCCTGGAAGTCCTCTATGTGCTCCCGTTCCAGGGAGAGGTGCACCAAGAGACAGCATCACTGCCGACGAAAAGAACATTCAGAATACGCCGAACTGGGAGCGACAGGAGGAAAGTCGGCAATGGTAAACCTAAATAGGGCAAGTTAACGACGGATTTCTTTCTTGCTTCTGGGATTTTCCAGCGAGTAATGTATTTTTTGTTGTTCCTTTATATTATTACAATGAGTCGTTTTAATTGCTGGTGAATCACAATTCCTCACTTAATCTCTTCCATCATGATTGCTTTTCTAGAAGGGCAGATCTAAATTCTGGCTGAACATGCGAGACACAATCTTTGTGTGTTTTAATAATTTTAATGAAAACTTGTCACTGTGTTGCTTTTTTGAAATATATCAGAAGGCAATTGGTAACTTTGCGGGAATATTCCACCCTTTGCGGAAAGAAATTGGAATTAGAGAAAACGCTCTGATGTCAGTGTACCATACTCGACTGGAACTCAGTATTTCATCTTGGAATCTCTTTCTTTGAGTTTCAAAGTATTTTAGTTTAAAGATTCCCGATCTCTTTCTTTCATCTACCCTAATTTAAAAAATATTTGTTCCATCGACTCCCATACATTATAACATATAGCATATGTAATCATAACACAGTCATCACACATTAATAATTATAATCAATACAGCATATGCAATAAACATAAATTATGTGCAATTCGCATTTGAATATCTTAAAGATAATTTGATAATCCAATGTTTTAGTAGAGGTTTAGATTTTCAATAATCGTAAACACTCCCGCTCAGAGTAGCTGAGTTTCTAATCTTCATTGCTGTGCAATAGGTACAAAACGTTGAGCCTTTTTGAACTGGGAGTACCATTTCTCAAGTGCGTATTCCAGGGAGAACTTTCTTCCGCAATTGAGTGTCGCTGTAAATAGATATTGATTTGTTGAGTTTTCTGAACACCCTAAGCAGTTATGTAGCTAGGTTCTCAATTGCCCCGGGGCAGAAAGTCAAAATGAGGCCCGTGTCTGCAATGAATGTGAAATTAAGAGCTTTAAATTTAATTGGTACATGAAATTTAATTGGTACATGAAGAAAATAAGTATTGAGTACGATTTGTTTTATTAGAGAGAAAGAGATCGAGAGAGAGACAGAGACAGAGATAGAGAGAGACAGAGATAGAGAGAGACATGATCTGAAGAGAGACCATATCAGAAGAGACAGTGATCGAGAGAGAGACAGTGATCGAGAGAGAGACAGTGATCGAGAGAGAGACAGATCAAGAGAGAGAGACAGATCAAGAGAGAGAGAAAGACGGAGATGGAGAGAGAGAGAAAGACGGAGATGGAGAGAGGGAGAGTAAGACGGAGATGGAGAGAGGGAGAGTAAGACGGAGATGGAGAGAGAGAGAGAAAGACGGAGATGGAGAGAGAGAGAAAGACGGAGATGGAGAGAGAGAGAGAAAGACGGAGATGGAGAGAGAGAGAGAGTAAGACGGAGATGGGAGAGAGAGAGTAAGACGGAGATGGGAGAGAGAGAGAGTAAGACGGAGATGGGAGAGAGAGAGAGTAAGACGGAGATGGAGAGAGAGAGAGTAAGACGGAGATGGAGAGAGATAGTAACGGAGTTGGAAAGAAAGACGAGATGAGAGAGAGGGGGGAATAGATCGAGAGAGAGAGGGGGGAATAGATCGAGAGAGAGAGGGGCGATAGATCGAGAGAGGGAGAGGGGGGATAGATCGAGAGAGGGAGAGGGGGGGATAGATCGAGAGGGAGAGGGGGGGATAGATCGAGAGAGAGAGAGGGAGAGAGAAATAGGTTTGATTTCTCTTGTCACGCCGGCTTCCGCTAGCCCACATTGTGAGAATGAGCTGTACTCCAACTGCTGCGGATGCTTCCTAATCTTTACTAGTGTGTGACCCACATGCCGTGAAGCGTTGATATAATTGTCAGAGGCGCCTTTAGATGGCAGCGCATGCGATAAGATGCACACTTGAACTGTACAGCTTCATTCTGGCCACAGAAGTGCAGTGAGTAATGGCCGATTACCCCCCCCCCAAAAGAGGGAAGGCTGATAGTCAGAGCGATTTCGAATCGATTTCGCGTCACTTAAAAGCGCGCGATGTTTGAAACACTTGATCGAGGTAAATTTCATCATAGCTATCAACTAAAAAATATAAATATTCTCTCAGACATCAAATATTTTATTTTGTAATTACATTTGGAAGAAGGAAATATGTGAGGAGAGCATTCTTCCATTCCCTCCGCAGATAAATTATCCTTGGTTCATCTCTTGCTTTCGGAAAGGTAATATTTTTAATTCTCTGAAACAGGAATCAAATGTAGAATTAATGTTGTGTCACTGATGTCAAATATAAACAATTTTTAGTGTTATGGGAAATATAATTCTGAAAATGTGTAAGATAATGCATTCCTCTGTAAACCGAGGACAAATTTATTACATTAATTTAATTTCCTTTCCTTAAATTATAGTTGTATTTACCTTCATTGGGACCCTTTTTTAAAATTATTTTAGCAGAGAAATAGCTATATCTGTGGGAAGTATCATTTTGTAGTCAAAAGAAGTTTGTTGGATTTGAACGAATTCTCGCGTATTGATAGTGGTGTCCTCGTTTACCTTTTTCGTAACCTTTCTTACCAGAATTATACGTACAGAGTTCTATGAACTAGAAGAAGGCCTTCAGTGGAGAAAGGAGAAAATTTAATTGAGGCACATGCTCGTTTGTTCCGCGCCGCCCAGTGTTCTCGATTTGCGTTTATTCTGTTAAATGCGCAAGGGCAGTTTCTCCTTGAACGTGCATAATGCCGAGTTCCACGAGTCGCATTGTCGTTGGGAACTGGGCGGCAACTCACGCATACATTAGCATGAAGTTATTGCTTGAGTTCAGAGTCCGAGAGCGAGACTTCGTCCTAAATCTGGAACTGCGTGCGGGGGTGTGAAACTTTCTCAAGTGTACGGCTGTTGTAAGAAGAAAATGATCTTGATTCTTTGGTTTTCAACGACCTAGTTTTAGTCTAAAACTATTACCTTCGATTAGTTGACGCTCTCTTTGTATTGCTGACTCGTATTTCTATTCTTAT